TCAGCTTTTCCCCTTCCCCCCAGCACCTCCCACCCACAGAAGGCCGAACTAGAGATGCTGAGGGTACTGCCTCAGCCCCTGGCAGGACTCACAGCACACCTAATTCCAGTGCCTCTGCTAACTGATCCTGCTGTTTTTGTGTTACTTACAACTGAACTCTCACCACAACTGTCAGTAATCCAAACACAAGGCCAGCAAGCAACCCCAAATCAAGCCCCAGAATGATGGCTGCCACACATGTAAAAATCCAGATCATCTAGAAAGAAAAGAACAAACACAGTGTTTCTGAATTAAAAATTGAAAATAATGGCTGAGCACAGCAGAGATTTACTACACCAAATAAGAACAACAACAGAACTTAAGCTTGAAGATGGTCAAAATACCAAAACCATTGGCTGGCTTCTATATTAAGCTCTTCCTTTATTTCCAAGCAGTTTTGCCCATCTTTGTTTTGTTTACAATTCATATTTGGTTTTCTGGCAATAAATTATCATGCTTTTCTAAGGCAACAGAATCTAGAAGGTACTCTTGTAGAGTTAAAGAAGATACAATTTGCCATGGTCTTTACTTCTCTTCAACAGCAGCTCTTTTTGTTAACTTTACGAATTTGAAGCAATGCATTTTCTCAAGAACCTAATTTAATGTAGGATTGCAGTCTGCCCTTAGACATGTAGTAGCAAAAGAAGGCTCCCACTTATTGCTGATAGAAGGATCTGTGTCACAAGTGGGTATTTTCACATAAACAAAGGGTTGGAAGGATGACACATTTTGAAGTCTGTACTGCTGACTGAGGTAAAACCATCCAATTGGGCTAATGTTTGAACTCCTTACTCAGTCCTAGCTCAGTACCTCCCATTGGACTCAACATTGTGAGGTGCTGAGTGCCATCAGCTCCTATGGAAGTCAATGGCATTTTTACCCAGGAAAAGGACTGAATAAAAACTGGGCATGGAATTTGGGATACAGCCAGGAAACTGCTCATAGGCATTCATGAGAAAATCTTTGCATATAAGAGATTGTGTGGAGAGGATTCTTTCCATGTAATCTCTGATTCCCTCAAACACACTGAGGACCTCTCCACAAACTCCAATAAGATATATGAGGGATGCCCTGAGATAAGATTTAGAGGTCTGTAGGCATAGACTAGAGGTAATTGTGCATACATATCTTGATACAGTAAAGGTTCCCATACACTCATTCCAGCACAGACTATTCCTACTCTAAGCAAGAAAAAATAAGTATATATGGTGAGGACTGTGATGCTATTGGTCCAGGTGTGGTGCGTACTAATGTTGCTATTGCAGGATATACAGCAACATTTGGGGACTGGTTACTGTGACAGGGCAACATCTGCCCCGCGCTGGGCTCTCAGGAGTTAATAGAGCTCTATGGAGGCTGTGCAGGAGGCAGCCAATCACAGAAGGGCCAGAAGGAGCAGCCAATCAGGGCTTTCCAGGCCCATATAAGAAAGCCAGTGCCACAGAGCTGTTTCAGTCACTCCCTGGAGCTTGAGAAGGAAGGAAGACTGGCTGCCTTGCCAGAGCAGTGCTGCAGGTAGAAACACAAGGAGTGAAAGGAAGCTCTTGGCAGGGTGCTGGAATATAGAATCATAGAATACTAAGACTGGAAGGGACGTCGAGAGGTCATTGAGTCCAGTCCCCTGCCCTCGTGGCAGGACCAAGTACTGTCTAGACCAGGGGTGTCCAAACTTTTTTCAACGAGGGCCAGATTTGATGAAGTGAACATGCGTGAGGGCCGACCATTTTGCCTGACATTCTTTGAACCATTAAAATTAAATGCAAATTAACTATTTTATGCAAAGTTTATTGCAAACGGCATACTTTTCATTTCGTCACATGGATCACAAATCTAAACAGGTGTTAAATCACTCTGCCTTTCATATCTGAAGGCCAGATGAAAAAAAAAATCCAGGAAGCTGAAATATATGTCAGGAACATTGTAAAGTACATTACATATTATTGGTAATAAAGGTTGTCTGTCAACTTTTAAGTTCAAAAAATATGAACAGGAACATAACACCAAGTATACATGTTGTGTCCAAATATATTTATAACTGATTTAGACCAACTGACTTTAACTGAGATTTTACAATGTATTCATCTCAATACATATGGATTCGTTGGGGGCCATAAAAGATAGATATTGCCAAATTACCCGATTTAGACCAACTGACATTAACTGAGATTTTACAATGTATTCATCTCAATACATATGGATTCGTTGGGGGCCATAAAAGATAGATATTGCCAAATTACCTCTAACCTACTCTTAAATATCTCCACAGATGGAGATTCCACAACCTCCCTGGGCAATTTATTCCAGTGTTTAACCACCCTGACAGTTAGGAACTTTTTCCTAACGTCCTAAACCTCCCTTGTTGCAGTTTAAGCCAATTGCTTCTTGTTCTATCCTCAGAGGCCAAGATGAACAAGTTTTCTCCCTCCTCCTTATGACACCCTTTTAGATATCTGAAAGCTGCTATCATGTCCCCCCTCA